TATTTATTTTTTTTTTACATGTAGCTTTAATAATATATTACCTCGCAACAATTTGAACCGGCTGTATATCGCACCCTCGGTTTTCATAACTTCGTCGATATTTAACAGAAGTTTCTCTCTGCCGTGCCCTTGTCCCTCGCTAAGTACGCGCCATTGATCGATCCCATCGATCTCGCCTAGATCCTTTAGATCTCCACCAGCTGCGGAATAAAGGGTGGGCAACCAATCGGTTATGTGTATCAATTTCTTGAAAACACGGGCTGCTTTCTCCAATCTCGACGACCATAATGCCGCCACTCCTCTCACCCCTCCTTCGTATAAAGTGTATTTCGTCTGCAATAATAATATTTTAAATATATCCTAAATTTCTTTCATTCACTATCGCTTGACTATTCGAGATCGATTTATATTGATTCCGTAAAAAAAAAAATAGCAAATCGAGTTTCTTTCAACTCAACTTTTGAATAAATAAAAAAAAAAAAAGATATATGTAACAGATATGCAATCTTACTCCTCTTAATGGATAGTTCGAGCCGTAATTTCTGTATCTACCGATCGAAGCTGCTCCATTATCGGTGAGAAACAGGATTAGGGAGTCCCTCAGCATTCCTCTCTCGCCTAACGCGTGAACTATACGCCCAACCGATTCGTCTAATTTCGACACCATTTCTAAAAATAACCACACATTGCGCACATAACATAACTTCAACTCGAATAAGTTACTCGAAAATTTTTAAATATCCTTCGATTTTTTTTTTTTTTTTTTTTTTTACTGGCATATTTTCGCCGATTCGGCTCGCGAATCTGTATAATCTCGTCGTTGCTCGAGTCGTCCGGTTGTTCTATAGGCGCGTGAACCGCTAGATGCGAGATCTGAAGGTAAAGGGGTCTAGAAAGCTCGTGATTCTCGATGATCTTGATCGCTTCCTTGGTGAACAGATCTGTCACGTATTCCCGCTTAATTCCGTACGCCGGATCATCCCCACGATGCATGTCGTATCCGGTCATATTCTGTGGGGAAGAGAACTGCTTTCTATTCCCCGATGAAATTAATTTTTCACATTTCGAAGGAAGAAAAATTAATAAAATTCAAAGAAAAAAATTCACCTGATTCGAGTACTCGTAATCGTAATACGTGATGTGGCTGTTGTAAAAACCAAAGAACGAATCGAACCCCCTATGCAATGGCGTGTACTGTGGCGTGTGGTATCCCATGTGCCACTTCCCAATTAATTTCGTGATATATCCTAAACCTCGTAAATGCTCCGGCAAAATTTTTATGTGCAATGGAAGACCTCGTGGCTCGCCACCACGAATTCCATCCCCTTGCATCCCTAATAATAAGAAAGAAATAATTCCAAATCATATATTGAATATTGTTCCAATCGCGACATCGATCTTTGACATTATTATTATTTTTAATTTAGTTATAAATTATTGATTTATCGAATTTTAGATTTTAAATTTTTACTAATAATTATATTTAATCTATTTCAAATGCAAATATAACAACATATACCGATACGAATCGGGTAGAGGCCGGTGAAAAAAGCTGTCCTAGATGGTGTGCTTGACGGTAGAACGTAGTGCCTGTTTAATATAATTCCATTGTACGCGAGAGCGTCAATGTTGGGAGTTGGTATTTGATTCGATCCATGAAAACCAACGTCGTTCCACCCCTATCAATCACAATGTAAAATA